TGTGTAGATGCTCTACACCGAAGATTTTGTCCAACATGCAAAACCATTGTGTGACAGCGATTAAAAACTGAACATAATCTTGAATACACCTTCCAAACCGTGATTATGGTGGTGGCAGCATCATGCTTTGGGGCTGCACTTCTGCAGCAGGAACAGAATAACTGGTCAGAGGTTGAGGGAAGATGGATGGCAGCTCCGTACAGAGTGATCAAAGAAGAAAGCCTCTACTAACGACTTGGGGCAGGACCACAACTCTAAACATGCAGCCAGAGCTACAATTAAATGGTCTAGTCAAAGTACAAACTAAAATACAATTGAGAACACTGATGTTACCTCTGATCTGACTGAGCTTGAGCTATTTTGCAAAGAAGAAAGGGGTAAAAGTTTTGTGTTAAGAAGTGAAAAGCTGGTAGAAACTGGCAGCTCTAATTACAATGGAAGGTGGTTCTACAAAAGATTGACTTAGAGGGTTTAATGTCAATGCTTGCCAAACATTTCTGGCTTTTCCTTTTAAAATCAGAACAGGCCTATGTGAACTGAGCTTAAAAATCACACATGACTAATTATGTCCCTTCTGGATTATATTTAAAGGTGTCAAAGTAAAGGCTGCATAGTTTTTATGTGTGAAAAATGTGAAAACCATGTATCCTTTTATTCCATTTCACAACTCTGCCCTACTTCGGCCTGGCCCGCCATGTAAAAATCCCACTAAAAACAGTAAAGTGAGTGGTTGTCAAAAAAAAAAAAAGATAAATTCAAGAGTTTTGGTTCCTTTTCAAGACACTGAATATAAAATGACCCAGTACCTGTAAATAGCTACTAAGAGGTTCAGAACATTATCACAAAGTGGAAAAAGAAATTTGGCTAGGGGCATTTAATGTCTTTTTTTTTTCTCTACCTCAGATTTTTTTTTTTGTGATATTGCTCATGTTAGCTGAGTTTCTTCACACTAGAGCTCACCATCCTGTATAAATATATACTGAATGTGTCTCAGCTGGCCTTGTTTTTATCTCTCCAGCATAGTTATTGTGCTTTTTCTTACTCATTCAGGCACTGAAGCGGTCTGTCATTTGAGTGCATACGTATACATATATGTGATTGTGTTAATTTCTGAGCGAAGCTCCAGTGAGTACAGAGTGCTCATAATGATAAGACACCAGTACAGCTGGTAAGCTAAATAAGGACTCGTTTCAAGTCAAGCCAAGAAGAGGAGAACAGATACTGCAGGGACACGACACAAAGCGCCGACCCACCTTTTTTCCCTCTTCACACAGCCAAACCTTACCTCACTCCCCTCCTCCCCGACACCCCCCTCGTGATAATTGCCTGACAATGGCTCCGTCTCCTCTCTGTTTTACATCGGGCTATCTCACCGGCTTCCCTGCACAATCCCTGCTCGGGATCCATGACCGACTGTTGAGCTCCAGTAATTAGAGCAGGCTGTTACAGGGAGAGGACACGGCGTCCCTCTAATGCTCATGTTCTGTCCACCTGGGCAGATATTTTTAGCCCACCTTGAATGAGCAAGAACAAGCATCAACATGTAAGCAATGTTGGGCGCCCATACCAGGAGCCACAACTCAATTAGGCCTGCTGGAGAGCTAGAACCACTGAAACAGTCAGTTTCTATTCTTCTTTGTCCTTGTCGACAGCATGGAGAGTGGAAAATGTGCACTTTCCTTATTGGGCGTACTTCCTGCTGAAATCTGTTTTTTTTTTTTTTTTCATTCCAGAGCGCCGATAACAAAATTAACCACTGTGTCATTCCACCCCAGTTTCCTTCCACCCAACACAATCACACTGCATGCCATAAAAACAGTAATCCAAACATTTCTCTCCCTCTATTTATGCGCGAGTGTGTGCGCGCACACGTCCCCCGAGGCTGCAAACTCTTATGACTTTCCCTTTCCCTGCATCTCACCTTCTTTACATATCAGACTCCCGGTGTGCTTTAGTAAAACATCAACATTTTATCCATGAGATGCATATCTCTCTTCCAGCCTGCAGACAAACACACACACACACACATGCACTCACACGTATACAGAGAGCTTTGCATGAGGCCCGACCCTGGCCACCCAGCCACGCTGCATTCTGAGCAGCTTATCTTCAAACGCAGCAATTTCTCACCTCCAGAAGCAAACAGCCATTCTCCTTGATAACAATTGAAGAGGTTGTGTCCTCAGTTGAATAGCCTATGCTCATGGCAGTAAATAAAAACATCAGTCAATGCAAAGAAAATTGTGTTTTCATCCATTATTCAAGACTCTGTTTTTCTTTTCTACTTCACATTCTGGAAATGTAAGACCTATAACGCATAACAACCCTGAAAACACACCCCCACCACTTTATTCTGAGGGGACTTTGCTCCAACTTGCTGACCTCTTTCGGACAGCACGCTGGTATGTCAGCTCAAGCTATTCCCACGGCAGTCAACAGGCCATATATTATCAAGGTAATTACCTCTGCAGAATGGATGCCTTTCTAATACCTCCCCATTTGCTACATTCAGTACAGCCGGCTTCTTCATGCTCCGTCTCCTCCGTGCCATACCTCACAGGACACAAGCATGGATCCAATAAAGACAAACACAGAGCCGCATTCAGCAGCCCAGCCGGCAAGAGACAGAAGGAGCAGTGGAAGGTCAGGAGGGAGGGCAACCATGCCAGGCGTCGAGCAAGGCTGTTGCAGCATGGAGTCACTAATTGCCATTTGCAAAATAAGACTATAGCAGCCACTGCAAGAATCTGAAATGTCTAGGCTCTAATTAGGTAAATGTTCGGCAATTATTCCTTCTTCCTGTAACTGTGCATTTGAACAAAACAGTCAGCACAGAGCCATGTGTTGAAACAGCTGTGTGCTTCGATGGTATCGCCATCGAGTGCCAACTGGAGGGTGTGGATTTGTACTTCTTCGAGGAATGTGTTGGAAAAACACAACTCATTTCCGTGTTAAGAGTTCGGTAACAAGATCCACACTGTTTGCATCCAAGTACGATAATTGAAAGCTACAGTGAGAAGAAACAGAATCGGAAAACGCTGTTGTCTTACAGGTTGTTTACTTTTTTTCATGGGAAGCTGGAACTAAGCTGCAAAGGAATTACCAACCAAGATGTAGGTTCTGGCTTTCGGGAAGTTTACAGAGATGTGATGCCCGCAACATCTGTTGGTACTTTTATTCCATAGCAACATATGACTTTGGTGAAGTACGTGTAAGATGTTATTATGGGCCTAGGAAATGAAGGTGGGTCCTTTAACCTTGACATCCTGTTATGATACCAACGTGGCAAAAGTCGGTGGTAAAAGCATTGAAAAAATTCAACAATGGTTGCACAACATCATGTGTTATTCAATAATGTAAGTGAAAGTTCTGATGACATTAGGACATTTGGATCACCACATACTGTACAGTTTCTGCTTGAAATCCACCAGAGGGTTCATCTAGGAGCTGTAGCCCATTTTGAAAATCCCACACAGGGACGCTATCATTTCAGTGGAGACGTCTCATTCGACAGCAGTTGTAAATAGTTTGAACCTCCCTCTGGTGTGCCCTGGATGTCTGGAGAGAACCACAACGCTGGAAGGCAATTTATCTTCTGAATATTTGTCACATCTTCTCTGCAACTCACTTTGTCTTATTTCTTCGATATCTAGTATGTAAACGAACTTAGCGAGCAAGATTTCTACATGGTTTTCATATCAAGCTTCAAGACTTTTTATTGTTTCCCCAGCGTTTTCAATACATTTTGAGATTATTTTTACAGCATCAATAAAAATCTTGGAAACTATGATTGGATGGATGGATGGATGGATGGATGGATGGATGGATGGATGGATGGATGGATGGATGGATTAAACACCTGTACATATTCTTCAATCAACCATTTGGGACACATACACCCAACTTCCAGGAAATGTTAGTTTGGTTTTAGTTGCTCTTTTTTGCAGTGTAACACTTTAAAGATTTATTTTTTGCCCATTGCAATTCCACTTCCTAGCACTGATGCTGAAATGAGTCTTATTTGCACTCTAGACTCTGTCGAAAAGTGAATGTTTGTGAATGTCGAAAAGTGAAGTTATGTTTTAATCAGAAATTAAAACATAACTTGCATTTAAAACAATAAATAAAAATGTATAGGGTTGCTCCAAATTAACAAAAATAAATGGAAATTTTCAAAAATAGCACTTCTGACAACCAAGTGACTGCAGTTTTTCAGATGACAGGAAAGACAGATTTGGCTGCATGAACACATTCATGGTAGCTAAATGCACAAACAGTAAAAAGTGTGAAAATAACAGAACCACCACCCATCACTGTTATTAAGCTATCACTTTAAAACTTCACTTGCCAACCTACTAACAGCACGACAGTTAATACCTTAACGTTTACTATCATTGTGAAAAAATGTATTTATCATTAAAGGAATTAGTTGTCCAATGATAATAACAATAAAGTATAGTTGGTTATGTTTGCAAACCCAAAAAACTATTTTTATTATTTGTATAGATTTGCTGTTTAAACCATCCCTCTACTATTGGATCCTTGAGCTCATCAACGATGTGCTTATGCTTCAAAATGTGACTGAACGCTGCTATTACCTACTGCCTACATTACTCTAAGGATGAAGTACCTATTTTGATATTGGGTAAGTTTCTAAGGCTCTGACTTTTATAAACTGATTGATTCATAGCTAGAAATAGCAATAAAACTTTAATCACTGTTGATTTATAATCACAATAAATCCCACAACCCTTGTGATTAAAATGTAAGTGATTATCACTGTTCCCTAATGTAGTTTCCAGCTGAGCAGATAGCCTGACCAGTGAACTTATTACGCTTGTGAAATTCGACAAAAGCGGATACTGCTCTGCAGGAAAAAAAGCAGGTTTACTTGAAAGCTACGATTAAATTAGCGTTTAAGTAAATCTTACAGATAATACAATTCTAGCCCTAATGATCCAGAAAGTACATTAGTTATGTCTGTTTCAATTAAAAGCAATTGCAAATACATGTATTTTTCTGTGTGTAAATACAGTAATACCTTACGTATTATCTTACCGATAATCATGCTGATCCTCGCCTCATTGAAACTATACCCATCCTGTTTTTTTCACGTGGTCCCATCAGGCCTCCTAACGGTACATTACCTGTGTGTGTTTACTCAAAGGTTATACGGCTTAGCGCCGCAGTGTGATACCCAGAAGGTGAGTTTTCTCACAGCTCATTAACATGAAATACATGCTGTTTGGCATACTAGTACAACACAGTGCTGGTGTGCCCTCAGAACAGCTGGCAGCTGGTTTCACAGCAAAACATCCTACAATATTGATAAAGAAGCCCAAGAAGCCATTAGAGAGCCGTCCATCCTTCGATCCTAGTATAAAGCTGAATGCTGTCACTTTGTTGGACTCGTAGAGGGTTTTTCAGAGATGACTGTTGGACAGCTGACCATAGGAGGAGTGTGGCTCACAGCCAAAACAAGAAGGATCTTTTTTTTCTCCCCTCAGTCGCACAATTATCAGAATGTCTGTAATAAAAGGCGCTCCCAGTGGTAATTTAGCTAAACCATTAGAGATTGATCACAGTTGTGGTTTTATTGTCCCTGTTGTAGAGAAACACAGATTAAATCTCACCTAATAATATTTGGACACATTCCAACCTTTTCCAGATGTGTGGACAAGGCCCGGATGTCTTACTTCATGGACCGTTACAAAGTGGCCAATACAAACTTACAAGCGTCATTTTACAATAATAATAATAAAAAAGTTGAAATTCTAAAACTTACCTCTGCTCGACAGAGAGCCACGGCCAGCAGAAGGAGTACAGCGACGCTTCTCAACATCTGGAAGCAAAAGGAGTAAGTGAGGTTTTGGTTTGGTGGATGAGAGAAACGGTACAACGAACGCGTCTTTTTTTTTTTTTTTTTTTTTTTTTTTTTTTTT